GTTCCATGTCTGGGGCTGTTAGAGGTTGGGAGGAAAATGGGGGAGGGGGGAGTACAAAGAGCAAGCCTATGAGATATATATATATATATATATATATATATTTTTTTTTTTTTTGCAGTACCCAGGGTGCTCTATCACCAAGCTAGATCCCCCGTCCTGCTTCTTCTGAGACAGGAGCTCACTAAGTTGCCCAGGCTGGCTTCAAACTTGCGATCCTCCTGCCTCAGCCTCCTGAGTTGCTGGGATTTCCTGGGTGTGCCGCAGCACCCAGCCACTTTTTGGTTTTTAATCTGAATGCATATAGGAGGGGTGGCAGCTTCATTTCGCCAGCGTTCTCCCCAGTCTTCCCTTGTCTTGTGTCAGTTTTGTGTGTGTTACACTTTGTGTCCCTGGGGGTATCTGAATTTGCTGCCTCTGTAAGGGAACCACTGAAGCATCTTGTGCCAAGGAAAGAGGTGACCAGACTTTAGAAAGCTTATTCGAGGACTCCTTGAATTTAGGAAACTGTCTTTCATTTTGATAATCCCAGGGTCTAACAAGTGCTTGATACCCAAGAGATGCTCAGTGGACTGTTTCCAGTTGTATTTTTTAATGAATGAGATGAACATTGCAGTAAATGTTCTAACAGGTGACAGAGAGATGGGAGGTGAACCAACGACGGCGGAGATGGGCTGTCAGTGCAGCCAGGGTGGGGTACGTGAGGCCCTGCCTCTGGGTAGAGTGCCTGCCCACAGCTCATGCTCCCCCAAGTGTGGAGTCTCCATGGCAGGTGTCAAGTGTCCAGGGTCACCCGCCATGCTTGTTTTAAAATGCAGATTCCTGGGCCCAACTATAGACCTGAATTACAATACCTTAATGGAGCTCAGGCGTTTTTATTTTAAATAAGCACCTTTTTAAAGTTTGAGAATAGCTGGGCACCGCGGCACATGCCTGCAATCCCAGCTACTCGGGACTCTGAGGCATCAGTTCGTAAGTTTGAGGCCCATCTGGGCAAATCAGTGAGACCCTGTCTCAAAATAAAATTGAAGAACAGGACTGAGGATATAGCTTGCTTAGCACGTGCAAGACCCCAGGATCGGTCCCCAGTGCTTGGGGGGAAAAAGTCACAGAGCACGGTATCCTGGGGCCACAGGTTGCTTTTGGCTTTGCTTCTGGCCGACCAGGAGCTGCTGGGCACGATTGACAACCCCACCACACCCCTCACGTGGCAGTTCTACCTGCCCTGTACACAGCATGTGCACAGGCTTCCCCTGGGTCTCACATCACCTCCCAAGAGAGAGATTTTATTACCTCCATCTTTAACAAGAAGAAAGGGGAAATCAGAAGGGCTGGGTCAGCTTGCCAAGGCCACACACGTGCAGGTGGGCCTGTCCATCCTGAGACGCCCCCTCCTCCCTGGCCAAGTTTTCCTTCCTGCTTTGGGTTAACTCACTTCAACCTACTCTCAAATCATGGCCTCCCCAGAAACAGGGAACAATTAGAAGCTCATTTGCGCTGTAATTGGGTTTCCCTGCTGCAGTAGTCCCCAGTGGTTGCTAAGTTAGAGTCACTTGGGGGCTTGGGTAAAGCACACAGGCCCAGGCCCTACACTCCTTCAAAGGGCCTGGGCCTGGTGTTTTCTGAGAACTCCAGGTGATGCTCATACCCTTCAAGCTTGAGAGCCAAGGTTCAGGACGTGGTTCTTTGCTAGGCCATTTCTCTGTAATGTTGCAAAGAAAGGCATTTGAGGTAATAAGGATTCCCTGGGGAGACGCCCAGGAAAGGATGGATCTTATTATTACCCGGGAAACCACCTTGTGCTTAAAAGCAGAGCTTTCAGGGCAGAGCTTGAGGCAAGCTTAGTGAGAGGAGGGCCGCCGCTGGGTCTCAGCCCTGACCTGTCAGGACACTTTCATCCCGAGGAAGGAGTTTAGGTCGGTGAAGGGTTGAGTGAACACAGACAAGGTAAGTGTGGGTGGTGGGTGGTGCAGGCCTTGGGGTGGGCAGTGAGTGAGGAGCTTTAGACCAAGTCGTGCCTGGGGCTCAGGGCCCAGGCATCCCAAAAGGGAGGGCCAAGCATTGAGGGCCTGTGCACTCTTCCAGGAAGAGGCCTCTGGGCGGATGGCCTAAAGGGCACACTGGGGTCTCGCTCGGTAGCTGACTGAGTTGGCCTACAGCTCCCCCATCAAACGGGCCCCTTTTGTGCGATTCACTTCATTCTCCTGAGCCTCTGGTTTCTCACCTATAAAGTGAGGCTAACAGTGGTAACTTCTTCAAAGAGCCATTTTGGGAATCAGGTGATGCCTGCGAGGGTCCTAGAGCAGAGTCACGCGCCGGCACAGTAAGGAACAGGAGGGCAGCCCATTCCTACCCGCGTTGACAGGTTCCCAGCTTCTACAGTTCAAGGTCGGTCCCTCAGCGCTTGTCAGAGGGCAGTTGGCAGCAGCTGATCTCATCCCGAGGCACTGCTGGTAGCTGCCATTGAGGTCCCTGAGTGACAACCGGGAGGCAGGCGATGGGAAGCCGAGGAACATTGAAACCCAGGACTAGCCGGGAAGACTGGAGGAAAGGGTTGTGCACCCCAGTGAGAGGCAATTAGGGCTGAATCTTAGGGGCACATTGCCTTGTGGAACAGCGTCATTGGTGATGGCTTTTAATTAGTGCATTATGATTTACATAGTTGTGGGATTCATCTTGACATTCATAAAGACATATAATTTGCTCCATTCCGGTCTCCAGTGCTACCCCCCTCCCCACCCCACACACACACACTGTTGGTGTTCCTGTTAATTGATTTTGTTTAATTGGTACATTGGTACCTGAAAGTGGAATTCACTGTGACAGTCATGCCCGCACCTGACACTGTTCTGTCAATTTCTTCCTGTAGCTCCTCCCCTTTCCGTCCCTCCTCTAGGCCCTCTGTCCCCTTTCCCTACACCGCTGTTCTCCCTTCTATTTTCATGAAATCCACCTCTTAAAAAAAAAAAAAAAAGCCTTATTTCTCCTCTAGCCTCTGCTTCTGCTACAGGAGAAGTAGAACGTCCGACCCTTGACCTCTGACTCTGGCTTTTCCTTTTCCTATACAAAAGGCAAGTTTGGGCAGAGGGCCGACCTCGAGGCTTCCTCCTGGTCTTGCCCTACTCTTTCCAGAAAACACATTTTATCAGGAAAATACATTCCTTCCCGTTGCCTGCTGTGACCCCCATTTTCTGCTCTGTCATTCTGTTTGAGAAGTCCTCTAACTGTCCACAGAGCTGCCGTCTCTGATTTTCTTAGTGAGGTGATGCAGGACGGAGACCCTTGATACATGAGTCTAGGCCTGGGTGAAGGTGATGAACTCTCCCCTGTTGTGGGGGCCGCCGCTGCCATCTTGGCCTTCCTACTAGCTCTCCTCAGGCTCCGCAGAGATGATTAATGCTGCCTGTGGAAAGTTAGATCAAGGGAATTCCCTGAAGCGCCTCTCCATGCCGTCCAGGAATCCCGAAGGACGGGTGCCTTACCCAGAGCTGAGGGCCCTCTGAGGTAACCCTCTTCCTTGTGGGAGAGTGAGTTCAGACCAGCTAGAAAGTTTTGCTTGTGGAATAAAGGGTTACTCTAGGTGTAGACACCCAGTAGTTCAAAGTCTTTCTGAATAGTGTGTAATCCCCTGGCTGGTGAACAAAGTTCTTTGTACCACTGTTGGTGAGGGTTGCACCATGAGCCTTGGCACGGCTTTGTCCTGTGGCTTCCACAGCCCTTGCTCCATCGGCCATGAGCCAGGTCTTAGTTCTTGGCTCCTGTCTTCACCGACTGTGGCTGGGCTTCTCCTACTCAGTAGCTGGGTTTGTCTGCTGGGTGCCAGGCACTGGGCTAAGGCTGTGACGGTGATGGCTGATCTGGGCATACACTGGACAAGTATGATATTAAGTGTCAGGGAGGAAAAATAGAGGTTGCCATGGGAACATCTCAAGCAGACGACATGGTTTGGAGAGGCTGGGAGGAGCATTTAGTATCTGAAGTGCTGGTGCCATAAATCTGTAGAAGCAGCAATAAGGTTGTATTTCCATGGGAGGGATGTTAGTGGAAAATGAACTTGAAATTGTAGCACTTAGTGGAAGCGGCGTAAGTCTAGATTTTGGGAAATGGGTCTTGTCATCTGGTGATATGGACATTGTCCGAAAGAATTAGAGAAAGCTGTTGGCCTCAAGTTGCCTTACCTTCTAGATTCTTGAGATCTAATTCATTTTGATTCTTTGAGGCTTTAAGAAGTTGCTTCTTGGATTACCTGTCTTTTTTCATGTTTTCAGAAATAATGTTGATTGAACAGTCAGATATTCTCCATGTGTGGTCTTGGGAACTTGGTAGAGATGAGGACTCCCGGGTCTGGCCCCAGACATACTGAACCAAAGTCCAGTGGTTTGACTCCGCCCTCTGTGGCCTAACAAGCCCTCCAGGTGATTCTGGTGGACTCAGAGTTTGAGAAGCATCTTCTTGGGCTCTGGTCACTAGTGATGTGAGCCTAAGGCAGCTTCCTAGCAAGTAGGTTGAAGTCATTGACAGGAAGCCATGTGAGATCCGATGGAAGGACTGGGTACCTGCTCTGGCAAACTTGGGGGAAACCAGTAAAAAGAAGGGCTGAATTTCCACAGCAGAATCTGGTTTTGCTATTTAGAACCTGATAAAGCAGGCTCTGGTTGAAGCACAGGATGGAAAACTGAGAGCACCTGTTCAGTCCCCCTTCCTCAGTGGGCCCTGAGGCTCTTTCCTGGATCGCCTTCTAATGCCACTTGATGGAGGTGCACTAGTGTCTGTGCTTGGTCACTTGGGCATCACCCTTAAACGAGTAGGTCATTTCCCGAACCACTCTGAACCTAAAACAGAGGCAGAGCAATGGAAAGATCCAGTGATGAGCTTAAGATCAAGAAGTTCTGACCCTACCCCTGCCTGGACCCGAAGCAGGGAGAATCTCCTTGGTGTTAGTGCATGTTCTCTTTCTCGTAGGTTCCAGTCAGTCTTCTGAGGACAATAACATTTCCTGAAGTATGAGTAACCCATTGGATGCTGACCCCACACCTTGTAACCAGAAGAGTGGCATGGACTTCCGAGACAGGGGCATCTATGCTCAGCTATTGGAGTTGATGCTGAACTTGCAGCAGACCATAGGGGATCACTTCGTGAAGTTGACAACCAGGCAATGGCAGGCCCAGTCACCGGAAGAGGCAAATCGCATTCAAGTTGTCCGTGAGCAGGAGGATGTCATAAACCATACCGTGTGCCAGGTGATCAGCCTCCTATGGACTGAAGCTGCAGCTGACCAGAGGCTCCAGAAGTCTCTCCATTCCCTGAACTCTCGAGAGGTTTGGAAGAAGTCCCCATCACCTAGGCAACCTGACCAGCCAGTTCGGCAAAGCAGTTTTCAAGCTTCATTTGTCAGTCACATCCTGTCCAACCGCGGGGTTGACATCTCTGACTTTTACCAGTCACACTTCCAGGACTATGATGCCTACCAGCAAGACAAATACCATGAGGAGAAGAACCCTTTGGTAAGAATGAGGGACAGCTTGGAGTCCCCATCCCTGGGATTTACTGAGTCCTGTGCCAAATGCTGTCTGCCATCTTGCCTTTCACACCAGATGAGCCCTGGTTGTCTCCTTCCAGCAAGGCTGATAAGGTGGCATGGCCCAGGGAGCTGGAGAACTGGGACCTGGGTTCCTACCCCCCACCATCTTTCCCTAAGTCCCAACTCTTGACCCCTAGGAGTCAGTCCCTCTGGTCATTGCGGGGAGTGACGCTGGCCTGTGGAATGTGGTGTGGTGGTGGCAGTAGTCGGCCAGCAGGGAAACAAACGTGAATGCTTTGAGAACCCTAGGGGGCCCCCGGCTCAGGTGGTCTGGGAAAGTGTCTTAAAGGCCGACCCAGCCAGCCATGTTGGGTCCCTTCCAGGAAGGAGCAGCAGGGTCCATAAAAGCTTCACAGAGGGAGGGCTTGGAAAGAAGGCCCCTGTGGCCCGAGTAGGGACAGTGAGTGCCATGGCAGGAAGTGCAGACAGCAGTGGGCGGGAGCTGTTAAGATGTAGCTCTATGGGTGGAACAAGGGGACAAAAGTCTCCAACAAGGAAAGCCAAGCAGCTCTTCAGCTAAAGGTGGAGGCCAGTCCTAGCCACGCATCCCCTGTCTGTCCCCATCTCAGGGAAGTGTGGCCAATGGCCACAACAACTAAGGGGTTCGGTTGGCCGTCTCTATTGCTCTGTGAAGGGCCACATCTCCTGGAGATGTCCTAACCTGTAAGACCAGAGATGGAGACCGGTCAGGGCCTGTGGTGTTAAGGGTCCAGGTCAGGCGGGTGGCGCTCTGCCCATCACACGAGGTCACGTGGATGGTTGACTGTTCAACTTTTCTCATCTTCACTCTTTTTGCTCACTGAAGACCCTCTTCTCAGAAGTTAAGGCTGCTCACCGTGAAGCACTGAGTCCAGCATCCGGCACGTGATAACTCAGTGACTGGTAGATGGGACACAATACAGCTACCATTATCTTTGTGGCTCTGAAGGGGAAAATTGGCAGGCTGTAAGATTTTGGTCCTTGGAAAGGTCTAAATGCTTAAAGTTGTCAAACATGGACTGAGTTGCCTCAGGGGGCAGTGAGACTTCCTTTGAGCATCTGAGACGAGCATTTATGGGTGTGTCTACAGGGGTTACCAGAGGCTGATCTCAGATTCTTCCACCTCCAGGGCTTTCTTAACCTTGGTGTCAGTGAGAACAAGCTCTGCGTGGATCTGATAACGGAAAGGGTAAGTCGTGTTCTGAGCTGTGCTGAGACTCGCCCCTTCAAGTCTTCTAGCATGTTCCTCAGCCTCATGGGGGAGATGAGTAGAACACGGGGAAAGGCAGTGGACAGATAGCTTCTAGAACAGCACCCTAACCTCCGGGCCTTGCTGGCGGTGTCCAGAGGTATTCTCTGATAGGCTGCCGAGGAAGCTTTGGGGTGGGGAGGTTGTCGCAGACTTCCCAAAGGGGCATCTCTGTGCATAATATGACAAGACAAGGTATCCGATCACGAAGGAGCGGGCAGCGTTAGCACCATGCCTCTTCTGGGAGGCCATATAAGTGGACAGCAGACACTTGCACGCAGACTGGGCGTGGGCCGAGGTCTCCTGGGCTACCCAGGTCAGCTGCTTCAAGCTCCGTTTGTCAACAGTTGTGTCAGAATGACATGAACTGCATTGAGGAGGACCTGCTGCAGTACTCCGACTGGAGAGGGCACCCACTGTAAGTGACCTCCACCCCCAGGATCCTGGCCCACGGAGATCTTCACCCAGGGAGGGATTTGACGTGCCTATTCATGGTGGCTGTCTTGTATTTCTGAGTAATAACTTCCAGGAAATGCCTATAGAGGAACCTCGGCAGGAGGCAGCCTGTGGGTGCCCTAGCCTTGCCTCCAACTCCAAACCCCGGCTTTCACGTACTCTCCGTGACCTGGGCTGGGGTGGGTGATATCCTTGGTCCAGAAACCTATAGGACAAGGTTGGACTAGGTAGCAAAGATCTCTTTGAAGTCGGACACTGTGTCCTTTGAAAAAGACTGACATCTAGACCCTGAGTGAGGAAGGTGTCTCTGGGTCTGTCCACAGCCTGCGGGAAGAAGTCGCTCGGTTCCTGAGCTATTACTGCAGGGCGCCCACTCGCCTTGATCCAGAAAATGTGAGTCAGCCTAGGGGAGGGCTCTATTCCTGGGGAACCTCTGTATTAACTGGGGAATACGGGGAGAGCCAGTGGAGACCTCCGGGCCGAGGCAGAGTAGAGGCCAGCAGGTCCCAGCTCAGGGGGCGCCTGGTGCCTGTCCCCTTCAGGGGGCGGGAGGTGGCACGGCCACATCTTCACCTTCTTCCATGGGTGCTGCGTTTCTTCCCCCACCCCGTGTGTGTTGCCCTCAGGTGGTTGTTTTAAATGGCTGCTGCTCCGTCTTCTCTGCCTTGCTCATGGTTCTCGGCGATCCAGGTGGTAAGTCGGCGGGCTCGGCTCTCAGTGAAATGTTGGCACATGGGCAGGAAAAGCCAGGCACTGGGGCGTGGGGAAGAAGAGCATCCTGATAGGAGGCCCTTCCCTCAAAGAGCTGGCCCGTCTACACTGGCTATTATTATTTCTGGGGAAGCGAGGGATTGAGATTCCTCATTTACTATGAAAAAAAAGACATGTCAGGCCTCAAGGAGGGACACCCAGGAATGTTGACAATGGTGCCAAATCATTATGTTCCGAGCTGGTCTCAAAAGTAATACAGGGAGCCTTGGTCACTGGCTTGGGCTTTATAGATCCCCCCCTTCTCAAACAAAAAAAAAAAAAAAAAATGCGAATTATTTCTGGATCACATAAAGCTGAGAGTTCTGTTCTCAATCTCCCTTTAGCTTTGCCCAAGCAAGAGGCTCAGGTATTAAAGAGATCTGGTTACATGGAAGGAAGTGGCCAAGATGAAAGTCTTGGGTCCTTGGTTAGCTCATCAGTGAGGCCAAATGGGTAGGAAGAAAAGAACCTAGGAGGTCACCAGGTCCAAATGACAGGAGCCCTTCATGGGCATGGACCTTGGCCTCTAGTGTTTGGCTGAAACACACAAGACTTTCCTGATGACCAGTGTTCCATCAACTAGCCAGCCCAGCATGATCCAGGCCCCTGATTCTGAGTCATTCACAATGACGGCCCTTTCTCTTCTCCTTGACTACTTCACCATCAAAAGGAAACTAGACTTTTCTTCTCCACATTATGCCTATAAAAATGGATAAATTTTGCCGGGTGTAGTGGCGCAAGCTTGTAATCCCAGAAACTTGGGGGGCTGAGGCAGGAGGATTGCGAGTTCAAAGCCAGCCTCAGTAAAAGAGGCACTAAGCAACTCAGGGTCTCACTATCTCTAAATAAAATACAAAATAGGACTGAGGATGGGGCGCATGGTTAAGCACTCCTGGGTTTAATCCCCAGTATCAAAAAGAAATTTTTTTTTTATGAAACCTGAGCCCGAGAACATCAATCCCCTGATAGAAGGGATGGCCAAAGGGATCTATTCGTGGCTTTGCTGTCATTCTGGGGGGGCCTGGAAGGTTCTGACTGACAGAGCCTGGACTGATAGCTGTGTCTTTCTGTGCTTCCAGAGACCTTTCTGGTCCCTACTCCCTTCTATGGAGGCTTCACCTTTGTCTCCCACCTGTATGCAAAAGTTGAGCTCTTTCCTGTCCACCTGGAAAGTGAGGTCAGAATGGGCCCTTCACTGTTCAGCCCACCTTGGCAAGGGATAGTTCTGGGGCACTTGGGGAGTATGGGGGACCTTATTCTGTACCCATGTATGTGATGGGGGGAGGGTTGGAGAAATTGGGATGATGACATGCTGGGCTGGTGCCCTGGTTGATGGGGATGCAGGATCCAGATCCAGATGCTTTTCCATGGGCATTTCTCACTAGTGGCTCTCTTCCAGATAACTGAGGAGAACTCGGAGCCTTTCCAGCTCACCGTGGACAAGTTGGAGAAAGCCCTGCTTGAAGCTAGGCAGAAGGTAAGGAAGGAATCATATTTTCAGGGGGCCACTGTTTGGCCTTGCAAAGAGTTGAGTCCCTGAGGCTGATCCAACCTGCTCACCAAGACCTGAAGTTAGAAGAGGCTGCCAGTGATCAGGGGCAGGTCCCCATAAGAGCTGAGAGTCCTGCTCACGGCTGCTTCCTCCGGCTCAGCAGGCAGTTTGGTAATTGCTGCTTGAAGATCCTATCTCGGCCTTATTAGGTATCCTGTGTTGAATGTCCTGATCTGTTGTCAGATTTTTCTCACTGTGACAAGATATCTAAGAGATAACCTAAAGGAGGCAGGATTTATTTTGTCTCAGTTTCACTCCATGATCACTTGTCCCCACCGTCTTTGGCCCTGTGGCGAGGCAGAACATCATGGCCGGAGTGTATGGCGGAGGAAATCTGTTCACCTCATGGTGACCAGGAAGTGAAGAGAGCTAGAAGGGGACCAGGGTATGAATATCACCTTTCAGGGCACACCAACCACTAACTTGGCCACACCTCCTGAAAGTCCCGCCACCTTCCCAGAGCCCCTCAGGCTGGCCACCAAGCCTTTAGAATGGGCTTTAGGGGACATTAAAGATCAAACCAAGATGTCCAGGAAGGATCCTTGGCAGAATTTGGAGTAGCTATAAAGGACTTGCATTCCCTTTGTTGTGGTTTGGTCTTTTTAGGAAAAAAAGGTCAGAGGCCTTGTGCTCACCAACCCCCAGAATCCTCTGGATGTCGTCTACTCCCAAGACTCACTGATGGAATATCTGGAATTTGCCAAAAGGTAACCTGAGTGTTTATTTTGTGGGCACTTCGCTTTACAAAAGGTATGAGTTCTATCCCTTGAGATTAGATGGTGTCCCTGGAAAGGGTTCCTGTCACTTGTAGTCAGGAAGGCAGAACCAGAGGTAATCTGCCTAAACATTCCTGGTGCACATTGTTCTTTGCAGAGTTATGTACAATGAGCAATGCATGTAGCTCTGGAGATTGAATTGGAGGCTGAGGTGCCTGCATGCTTACCATTCCCAACCTTGTTGTCCTTTCCTTTCTAGACTTTTCCCTTGTGTAGACATCTATGTAGTAGTCATAATGTATTTTTGTGGCATTTCTACTTATTACACCAGAAGCATCTGTTTCCCCCAACTACTTGGACTGAGGTTCCAAGGAGGGCGCTCTCAGTCCTTGTGAGACGAGGCTGAATTTCTGTAGAACTTTCACGCCCCCTCCTAAGAACACACCAACATCTGTTCTCTCCAGACTTCTGAAATAGCTCTGAGTTAAGGCGGATAATCTTTTGTTTTCTAGAAGATGTGGACTTATTCAAACTTGAGAACTAACTGAGGCCAATTAGTGGCAGGGCATAGGGACAGAAAAAATACAAGAGTTGTGGGCAGGAACCCCACAGAGCTGAGTGTCAATACCAGCTCTTGTACCTGCTATTTGGAGGAATTAACTTTACATTTTTAGACCTTATTTCCTTTTCCTCTGTGAAATGGGCATGACAGCATGCTGTCAGGGATTGCTGGGACAGCAGATGAGTGGTGCACAGGTGCTCACAGCCCACTAGTCCATGACTGGATTCAGACCCTGGCTGAGAACACCTGGCTGCACTAGAGCAAAGACTCTGGGACAGTTTCAGTCCATGGTCACTTGTCCCCATGATCTTTGGCAAGGCCAAAGACGGTGATCTCTGCCTAATGGTTGATGGGTTAGATAAGATATTCTCATGTTTCTTTTTTGTTTTATTCCCTCTCAGTATCCCTAAGCCAGGTGTGAAGTCTCTTCTGGTATATCAAGACCTTTGTCTTACTGTGCCCCCTGGGAGGCTGGGATGGGCTCCTGGGGTGATGGGACCATCTGATCTGTATCCAGAGAAGGACATCAATGAAAATGAGTTAAAATTACAGTGAGAAGCTAGATCTTGTTTCCCCCTCTTTCACCCAACTATAGGCATAATCTACATGTGATCATAGATGAAATTTACATGCTGTCTGTGTTTGATGAATCCATCAAGTTCCACAGTGTTCTGAGCATAGAACGGTAAGTTGGTCTCAGATGAGGTTGGGGATGAGGTGCCTGCTTTTCAGGGTGAGTTTGAGATATCTGCTTACCTGGCTATGCCCTAAGAGGTGGGCAACAGAGGTGGTAAATATGACCAAAGTGTCATCTTCCCTCCCAAGTATCTTCCAGTTTAAATGTCATTTCATATATCTGCTGTCTTGACCTTTGACAATGTCCTTTCTACCTTGGCCTCAAGTTATAGTGCCTCAGAAGGTTGGCGCAGGAATTTCTTGGTAAATAGAACACAAGGCAAAAATAGACCAAGAACAGAAATTTCTTAGGGGTAGGATTTGGCCCTGGGGATAGGATTCCAACAAAGCAAGGGGAGGGCATGCCAGTAGAAGGAACAGCTTCAACAAAGGTGGGACAATAAGAAATACAGGCCAACGTGTGCTAGAAATGGTGGGCAGCAAACATCTGGAGAGCCAAGCCAGAATGTGGCTGTGGACCAGGTGTGGGAGAGTCAGCCAGGCAAGGGTCTGGACTTGACTCAGTGGGCCTCGGGGGCTGTTCCATCTGGTTCTTCATGGAGACCTATGTTCCTGGCTTAACTGGGGCAACTGTTCTTTGAACTTTGGGCCCCTTAGGCCTTGTTATCTAGAAAGGGCCTTAAGTCTACTTTCCCCTTCCCATCATAGACCCTCAAGTCTCCATCCTCCAGATGGAAATAGATTTTGACTTTATTTTTTTTTTCATTTCTTCTCTAGTTTGCCTGACCCTGACAGGACCCATGTGATCTGGGGTACCAGCAAGGTGAGCCCCAGCTGTGTCCTTGGGTCTGGAAGGAGGGGGATCCAGGAATAGAAAGCGAACAAACCCCATGTTCCTTCCCCTCCTTCTCTTCCTCTAGGATTTTGGCATCTCTGGTTTCCGCTTCGGTGCTCTGTACACCCACAACAAAGAGGTGGCCTCTGCCGTGAGCGTCTTTGGCTACCTCCACGGTATCTCTGGCATCACCCAGTATAAGCTGTGTCGACTGCTCCAAGACAGAGGTACCAAGCTCCACCCCAGGGCAGCATCTTGGCTGGACCTCATGGCCATGGGGAATTCTGGGTTTTCTTGGGCCTCTGACATGCCCTCTGCACACCTAGACCCGGCTCATTGTCTCAGGTTTACCCCTAGCTCAGTATTTGTGTGAACGCCCGTGATCCCTTCCCAGGGCCTTGCTTATTTCAGGCAAAGATTATAAAGAAACATCTCGACTCTTCCAATACAGTTTAATCTTGTTCTCCAAGGTAGCCAAAGGAGAATAGCCGTGAGCGTCTTTGGCTACCTCCAATTTGGATGAATTGGTGTGCTTAGATCTGGGCTCCCAGATTTACTTTTCCCTGGACCCCAAGGGAGCATCCTTCTTTAATACTCTGGCCCAAGATTAGAAGAGACCCCCCCCCCCCCTTTTTTTTAAATTGCCTGTAATAAAACAGATGCCAGGCTGGAAGATTTAAATTAATACCTGCATAAAAATAAATAAATAAAATAAAGATATTTTTTTAAAAGGAGGGAGGCTGAGGCTGTGGCTCAGTGGTAGAATGCTTGCCTAGCATTATATCCAGAGAAGGACATCAATGCAAATGAGTTAGAATTACAGTGAGAAGCTAGATGTGCGAGGCCCTAGGTTTGATCCTCAGCACCTCATAAAAATAAAATGAAGGTATCAAAAAATGAACACCTGCAATATGATGAGCCAAACTAATGCCATTAGATTAGTAGGTTTAGAAAAAAAATTGCATTCAGCTTTGGATGGGGAAATGGAGAAATCCAACTGAATGCTTCCTTACATGGAATCAGGATTTTTGACAGTTGGCCAGACCATATCCCAGCCCCTTGAACACCATTTCTCAACCTAGGATGTAGGAGACCTTGAAGCTTAAATACTGATGTACGAGCTACATCCCCAAACTGTTCTGATTTAGATACCGAGAGGATAACCTAGGCATCGGGGCTTCTAAAAGCTCTCCAAGTGGCTCTTTTTGCTGTCAATGCTGAGAATAACTAGGCTAAAAGCAAACCTGAGCCAATCTAGGCTCCTCTCAGCCGACTGGGTGAGGTCCAAGGCAGGAGGCAGGGGAGTTCCTGCTGACTTGCTCGCTGAGGAAAGCAGCATCAACGCCTTCATAGAAGACCCTGGCTTACCTCAGGGGTGTAAACCCAAGGGAGCATTCCTACTGGACAGTGAGAAGCCCAGAGTGTCCTCCAGGGCCCTTGGTAAGAGATGGGTGCATTGGATGTGGACACCATCAGCTCAAATATCAGATCACTCATCATGGATAGAAATCGTTTTCAGGAAGCCCAGGCAAAGAATATTCGGGAAGCAACCCTTGGCAAAGGTCTGCATAAGGTCTGTGCCCGCGCTCTCCCTCCTCCCCTCCAGAGTGGATTGACACAGTGTACCTGCCTGCTAATCACTCCCGGCTCCGGACAGCTCACAAGTACATCACCAAGAAGCTGAGGGCCTTGAAGATTCCCTTTGTCAATCATGGCTCTGGCCTGTACATCTGGGTCAACTTGCAGTCGGTGAGCTCTGGGGGTGAGGATGGGTGTTCTCGGGCAGACCTGCCAGGTGGATCTTGGGCTCAGCTCTGTCCCTCTGCCTTTGCTAGTACCTGAAACCGTGCACATTTGAGGAAGAACGGGCACTCCATGGCCGCTTCCTGGACAACAAGCTGATGCTATCCCGCGGCAAATCCTACATGTGTAAGGAGCCAGGCTGGTTCCGCATCATCTTTGCAGAAAACCACGTTCCACTCAAACTGGGTGAGTGGTGGGGACCTCCCAGGCCTGGCATCCTTTAAAGATGCCTCATCAACTGTTCTCACTCAATTCCTGAGTCTTCCTCTTCTATTTTTATTTTTCCCTTAGCAGCCACTAGCTTTAGGCCTTCTGCTTTCACTGTCATTTTACATTATGCTCCTTTGTAAACAGGAAGTGATCTGCACCTTGAGCATCAGTCTATTCATTCCTTACACCTTCTGGGTACCTGCCATTGGGCAAGGCACTGAGACCATAAGCTAGTATGAAGTGGTACCCTGTCCTTGTGGAGCTGGTGGTCCAGGGGGAGAGACGGGTGACTGTGGGAGTCTCTGCAGGTTATTCCATGGGGAATGTGACATTTGAACAATTGTGATATCCCACTGTATGCCAGGCATGGTTCCACCTGCTAGGAATATAGCAGAGTCATTCATTTCCATGTGGAAATGTCTTCTGGTCTAGTGTGGAAAACAGACTGAAGAGTTAAGAAGCAGGTAGGCCCCAGGGTACAGAGTTTGATAAGAGACCCTGAATGTGCCTGGCAGGCTAATGATATGACAATGAAGTTCCCAAAGAAACATCAGAGCTGGGCCTGGTGGCATACCTGTAATTTCAGCAGCTCAGGAAGCTGAGGCAGGAGGATTGCGAGTAAAAAACCAGCCTCAGCAAAAGCGAGGTGCTAGGCAACTCGGTGAGACCCTATCTCTAAATAATTTTATTACTAAAATAGGGCTGGGGATGTGGCTCAGTGGTTGAGTACCCCCGAGTTCAATCTCTGGTTCCACCCCTAACAAAGAACCACCAGAGGTATAACAGGTTGCCTGGGAATCTAGCCCAAAGAAAGGAGGGCTGAAGTTTGACATGCCTGCATTAGAGGCGCTGATGACCTGGGGACATCTGGGTCCCACCTGAAAACCTATGATATCATTTCTGTCTTTTTCCCCACGTGGACCCTCTAGCCATGCATCGGTTCAAACACGTGCTAGAGGAACAGAATTACGACTGGATGGTGAAGCAGCTGGAGGAAGCAATGATGGAGTAGATGGCCTGCCTTGTGGCCAGCGGCTCTGCCAGGCACACGCTCGCTCAGCCCCAATGTCGGCCTCTGGTCCAGGAGTTGATGATTGACCACAAAACAGACATTTCCTGGAGGAAACGTCTCATCTGACCCAGTCACCCCTCTAAGCTAAGCATCTGTCATCTTTGGCTGTTTTGCGTCTCAGTCTTTACTGGTCCTTGTGTATACAAAATGGTGTTTTTATCGGGGTTAGGGTGGGAGGATCTTCAGGTACCTGAAGGGATCTGTAAGGGATCTCTTGGGGTTTCTATTTAGATGGTTTTATTTTTATAGTCAATACCTAATAAATTCTATATCCTGTTTAAATTCCACGCCTGTTTTATTTTTTTGTTCACATTCTTTACAATCGCCTTTGGGAATGAGATTTTCTGTCCTAGGGCAGGTTGTAGGTGAAAAAGACTGTCTGGAGCAGACCAGAAAACAAGGAAAGAAGCGTCCCTTGACTAGTGGAGCACTAAGTGTCAGATGCAGTGTCTTGAGGATCCTTACGAGATCCCGTCTGCCTTCACGGGAGCTGCTAAGTGGTGTGGTGGGGGTGGGACTGCGGGTATTTCTACTTCTAAATGCCAGAGTTCTTACTGAGTTTGCCTTTCCAAAAAGCATTTTAAAGCCAATCTCTGGGTCCCACATGTGTTCGGGCTGGAGTACAGCTGCTTCGGCTGGGGTCTGTGATTGTTGGGTCTGGAGTGTGGAGTTTCTCTGTGACCTCCTGGATGTCACCATGCCTGAAGTACCAAAGGGAGGAAATACAGGACAGGAAAAAAGTCATCCATCCAAGTAGTAGAAAATCAGCTCAGATTATGAGAAAGGCCCACAAACAAGGAAAAAAAAAAATAATGAACAGGCCTTGCGTCTCCATCTTATTGGTGGAAAAACTGCAGTGGTTTCAAAATCATCTGGATTCCCCCCAAATTGGGGCATTCAAACAAAGATGCTTGTGAATTAGTTGAAAGGTACTTAAATAGATTTAGCAGTGAGCTGGAGCAGATGGAATTACACGCCAGCATCAGGGACAGGTAGGGAAGGTGGCACTTTTCCGTTATCAAGCAGCCGATGGAGCACAGTGACAGCAGTCTGAAGGATGTGGCCTTGAGATGCCAGGCATTTTAAATGCAAAGGATCTGAAAAGTTTTATGGAATGGGATTTTGATTGGAAGAAACTGCCAAACATTAAAACGAGAAAACTCTGTGCTAATGATGCAGTTCCTAAGAAAGGCAAGAGGGAAAGTATTTTGACTATAGACAAAAATTTAGGGGAATCGGAACTAAAAGGTGAATCAAATGACTCAGCCAAAGAAATGACCCCAATAGCCTGATTGTCTTAAGTTGAAAATAATTTGAGACCTTCATGTCATAAATAAATAGCAAATTCTTATGTCTAATTAACTCATTTTCTTACATAATAGCACCATTTGCAATTTAAAAAATGGTGTTGATTTTTATTTAGAAATGAAGTTTGCTTTTTATTTACATTAAGTTGCTAAAATAGAAGTTGTATTAGTCTGTTTTCAGTTACTATAATGAAATACCCAAGGCTAGGTTATTAAGATGTTTATTTAGCTCAAAGTTTTGGAGACTGAAAGTCCACCAGTAACTTAGTTCTGGCTCTGGCAGAGGCCTCAGGCTGTAGCACTTCCTAGTGGATGACATCACAATCCATGCAGGAAGGTGTGACAGGATGTGAGACTGGACACCAGAGGGTGGGGAAGGGCCAGTAATGACCTCTCACTAGGCCGCCTCTCAAAGGTACCACTGCCCCTTAACATCACCACACTAGGCACCAGGCTTCCAGTACATGAGCTCTTGAGGGACACATACCAGAAGTGGTCATTTAAAGACATTTAATCTGAACTTGGTGCAGAGGAAAAGGAATATGTGTGGGGACAAAATATGTTTTGAAATATTTTTATGTGGATTTAGGATTGCCTAATCTCCTAGGGTGAATGGACAGTGACCTGTTTTCTAAGAGGTTCCTGTGGATATTTCTTAAATTCTGATAATAGCAAAATTGTGTTAAATTGATTCCTTTCTTCAGCATTAAACCTAATTTACTTCCTTATAAAACAGGGAAGAATTTGATAGTGAATACATATTTACCAGTAGATTGTGCATTATCATTTATTTTTTCCTGAGCCAGAGGTAAAGGTTAGAAACAGAAGCAGTCTGTCTCTATGGTTAGGTTGAACCCCACATTTAACCTGTTATCTTTTGACAAAGAGAATAAATGACTCAGGCTTGTTCCTTTTGATTACATTTTGTTTTCTACTTTCTCATTGTGAAAAGTAATAAGTTTTTAAAAGGTTAAATTGACATAACAGTATCCTGAAAAACATGGATGTATTTGAATTTTGCTACTCACAGAAATTGTTGATAAGCACAAGTATCTTTGAGTTTGTTTTTTAAAAGATGTGATATTAAATACATTCATTTTCAAGGAAAGGAAAATACATTCATTTTTTCAAGGAAAGGAAAACATTAATGAATGGAGTTACTTGATATCAACTGTCAGCAGTTTATATTAAGTGTTATGACTTTTTTACTCCTGAAAATTAAAAACAAAATTTAATTTAAAAATGTGAAAAAAAAAACCCAAAAAAACAAATCTCTGGTGACAATCTTGGTATCTTAGTTTGTCAGGCTGCTATAAAAAAATACCAGAAACCAGATGGCTTATAAACCAATAAAGATTAATTTCTCATAGTTCTGAAGGCTGGCAAGTCCAAGATGGAGGACCTAGCAGATATAGTATCTGTTGAGGACCCATCTTCTTTTTGTAACTTCATGTGGCAGAAAGGATGAGGGGTCTCCCTTTGCCTTCAAGACATAATCACTTACCATCGGCCCCCACCTCCTATCATCATCTTGGGGTGAGGATTTCAACATGAATTTCTAGGGAAGATATTCAGTCTCTAGCACCTGGGGTCTTCCATTTCCATCTCTAGACTTTTGAGATGTTCAAGTCACACCCACCTCTGAGTTCTCTGCAAAGCCCTGTGTACCTGAGTACTGAGGCTGGGGAGTGGCTGAGCAGGGGCTGCTACTATTTTAAAGTGAATGAAAATGCTTTCAGTACCAACTGATGGCTTTTGTCGGTCACTTGGATTTGTGACTCTCCTGGCCCACCCCTAGGTCCAAATTTGATTCTTATTTTCCAAAGACAATTTTCTTCCACCAGTTTATTTTAATTCACAAGAAGAAGTCGACCAACCAATTCCTGGCTCTTCAAGGTGTTTCACACCAGACAGGTTCAGAAACCAGTTATGGCTCGTGGAAACAAAGGGCGTTCCCTGGAAGGCTGCTGGAGCTCGTGGAAACCAGGGATGCTCTGGGGACCTCCGTAGTGGAGCTAATAGACAGTCTCATTGGCACTGGATGGAAGGATCGTGCCTTCCTCTGGAGGAAAGGCTGTTTCTATCGTCTCTTCAAGATTCAGATGGAGAATGTCAAGCCAAGTGTGGGCCACAGGCTGGAGTAAACAAATGAGACACAGCACAAGAGGAGAATTCTAAGCAGCATTCCGTTTTTTACCAGGAGAAGGGTGGAAAAACAACACATCCATGTTTCTCAGGGTTGAAGGTGGTGTTGGGGGTTTTCCCAGGTTGGTGAGGTAACCCCAAAGGGCTCCCGTGCAGGAGAATTCGTGCATGCTCTGTGAAGTAGAGAGGTATCAGAAGGTACCTCTGTGAAGTAGAGAAGGTACCAGAGAAGGTACCAGAAGATCTGACATGCAGATACTGTACATTTTTATGGGGTCAAGAGCTCTGAGACACATTCGCAGATACAATGCCAGAGGTCCTGACTTTGACTCAAAGTAAGTTAGGATGATCCAAGTTAGGTGGAAGCAAAAGCATCCCAGAAAGTGACTACACATGTGATAAAAAGCTCTTTTAGTGGAACAAAAAAATCAAGTTATACTTTATATAATAGAATATGTGTGAGAATGAATATATCTTTTTTTTTTTTTTTTTTTTTGGTACGGGAGATTGAATGCAGGGATGCTTTACCATGAAGCTACATCCCCTGTCCGTTTTATTTTTTATTTAAAGACAGGGTCTCACTTAGATGTTGAGGGCCTTGCTAAATTCTGAGGCTGGCCTTGAACTTGCAATCCTCCTGCCTCAGCCTCCCAAGTCACTGGGATCATAGGCATGTGCTACAATGCCCAGCTAGAATGCATACATCTGAAGCCTCCACTTAAGTTTTAAAATTTATACTCAAGTAACCCATGCCCTAATCAAGGTAGAGAACTCCAGGAAACTCTTTCTTACACCCCTGGCCAATCCCTGCCTCATATGCTCCCAGGGATTAATCCTGCCAGGTTCAGAACTCCATGTACATGGAATCATAGAGGCGTGTCTTGTGTATGGAGTTTTGTTCATTCAACATGATATTCAGCCACGTTGTCATATGTATTAGTGGTTCATTCTGCTTCATTGCTGCTGTGTAGCCTATCAGATAAATGTTGCAACGTATCCATTTACCATTGATGGACATTTGTTTTTTTAAAAAAATATTTTTTATGTATGGTTGGACACAATGCCTTTATTTTATTTACTTATTTTTATGTGGTGCTGAGGATCAAACCCAGGGCCTTGCACATGCTAGGCGAGCGCTCTACACCTGAGCTACAACCCCAGCCCCGACATTTGTTTTTTTTTTCTGGGTTTTGACTACAGGAATAAAAGTTACAAATATTTGTGCACAACGTATTTGAAGTTATATATTTCCACTTCTCTCAGGTAAACACCTAGGAGGACAATTTTTGGAACATAGGTAAATGTGGATTTAATTTCATAAAAAAAAAAATCAACAAAGAGATACCCAAAGTGGTTGTACCATTTTACCTTCCCACCAGCAACATACACGAGGTCTGGATATTTTACTCTATTGACAGCATCTGGTGTGGACGATCTCTTCAACTTAAGCCCTGGGAGGTACACAGATTTTACTCTGTTTCATTTTGCATTCATCTGATGAATGTGAGGAGCTTTTGTGTGGGATGCTCAGAATACAGCAGGGCCGTTAGCCAGGCTTAG